TTTTTACGGGCATATCGAAAATTCTCTGGAAATGGGGAAAAAAATAATGCTGACATCAGCAGTGCCAGGACTTTTCACAAATCCAGGGGTGGGAGCGGGAGCAGCGCTCATCCCTCCAGATGCCGTCGGGCCCGATGACGCCGCAGTCGCGCTGCTTCCTCTCGATTTTGTCCTTCCACCTGTCCCAGTAGCTGGGAAAAAAAAAAAAGGAGAAAAAGGAAAAGAGAAAATAATAAAGGAATTTGGGAATTCATCTCGCAGGAAGAGGTAAAATTTGTATTTTGAGGGAAGGAGACCATTAAAAACTCAAATTTTTCTATCTGCACCAAGAAAACACCCTGATAGCACAATTTTCCCAACCGAAACCTTTTGACTTACGTAAAACTACCAAAAAACAACGTTTCGGTGGGTCAGATTCATCTTTTTCCATTTATTTTTAGATTATTTTCCATTTTGTGTGGAATTTTTACCTAAAACTTGGACGTTTGCCGTTAGTCCAGAGCCAGACGCCCTCCTCCTGCCGATCCGTCAGCCCCAGCCAGTACGTGCTGTTAATATTCTCCTTCAGGAAATTCTAGAAAAGCAGAATTGGTTCAAACAATCAAAAAAAAAAAATTAATTTCCAAGGATTACAGAGAATCTCGAGGCTTTTAGTAATTACGGTGAGGTCATCACCGCGATACCCAAGCAGTATTTTTTGGTAAATAATGAACAATTTGAGTATTTTAAAGCAAAATGCGAACACAGCGCTCCGGAAAAATGTTGACCTTTTTTTCCCTGCTTTATTTTTAGTGTTTTTTCCTAAAAACAGGAGGTTTGGCCATCGGTGCTTCTCTCCACCTCCAATCTTGGCTAATTTGAGCCCAAAAAAAAAAAGGTTTTGGAATTTTTGTGTTTGCCAGCGTAGGAATTCTCCGAGAAAATGGGTATTTTGGGCTCCACGTAAGCCGAGAAACTGGTGATTTTTCCCTCGCGAGCGTCCGACTGACCTGCTCGGGCTCGGAGTCAATGATGACCAAGTGAGCTCCTTGGTCGGCGCACGTCTCGTTGGCGTCCAACCAGTCCATCGTCTCCGTCGAGAAGGAGTAGCAGCTTTTCTCAAACATCTTCCAGCCGCCTGAGCACTTCCTGCCGCCCTCGACGGATCGGCAGATCAGCGCTGGAAGGACGAGAACCGCCAAAATTAAGGAAAAAATCAATTTTTTCTCCACTGGGGAAAACTCCACAGCTTCCCCGGTGGGGTGATAACTCAAAATTTTCATCAATCACCCCAATTTTCCATCCCTGAGACAGCGGTGGTCTTTTTTGGGCTCAAACCAGGAGGCTGTCATCCTGAGAGACCGCCGAGACGGCACCCACACCTTTACCTGTGACGTCCTGCAGCTCCTCGTAGTATTTGTGCATCCCGCTCCGCATCCGGACCTGTTCCCGTTGCGTCTCCGACAGCTCCTGCCGCACTGAGGAGCACC